AAGAAGAAGAAGAAGAAGAAGAAGAAGAAGAAGAAGAAGAAGAAGAAGAAGAAGAAGAAGAAGAAGAAGAATGTGACTAAGTCAAAATGAAAGTAATTACCTATTTACTTTATTTCAGATTTGAAATTTCTAGTCTTTAAAAGGTCAATGGTGTAGATCAACATTGTCAATTGATGCTTGAACCATATTTGAGAATAAATAGCTGCTGTCACATTTAGTATCTTGATTCACATTACAACAGTCAGTCACATGTCTGGTGGCCTTCTGGGGCTGTGCCAGCTCTAAACCTCGTGCATTTTCTCCTTTCACTGCCATTTCTTTAGGTCCCAGAGAACTAATGTTCCTGAGACTGTTCAACACACACAGGACTTCACGGCTACGGCATGTCTATCCATGTTGATGATGTAACTATCATCCACTATACCGTCCTCTTACCTGATGGTATTGGATGAGTCTTAACAGCATCGACACAACCACCTCCTTCTGGGTTTCAAGCTCTTTTCCAGCATCAGCTTTATTTGTTCCTCTTAACACAAACAGGTCATGTACAATGGGCTGCAGAGCAGGTATGGCTGTGGGCACAAAAGGGTGAGCAAATAAGGGCACATACATGTGGAACTGGAGATTCAGATGGCTGTGAACCACTATGTGGGTCCTTAGAACTAATCCTATGAGCAGCCAGTGCTCTTAACTGCTAAGCCATCTCTCCAGCCCCTAATTTTTACCTTATTATTATTTTTTTGTGTATGGTTACATGTATGTCTGTTCACCACATATATACAGTGTCTGACCCCTTGGAACAGGACATTGTAAGTCGCCATGTGGATGCTTAGAATTGAACTCAAGTCTTTTGGAAGAGCAGCCAGTGCTCTTAACCACTGAGCCATCTCTCCTGCTTCATTCAGGTCTGTATATTTGACATTTGCATTTCAACTAAATCATGCACCAATTGCTAAACATTTCACAATCTGTGCTCTGATGGAGCATGAACAGAGGCAAAGCTGACAGCTCACAAAGACTGAGAGTTCCTATCAATGCCTCTGCTCAGTCTATGGTCCCCTGTAGAGGTAGTAGATGGAGCTTCTCTATGGCAGTGCCATTCTCACTTGTGGGATTTGCAAAGCTCTAAGGACACATCCATACCAAAGACCAAAAGCTTCTAGACCAACAGTTCTCAACCTGTGGGTCTCAATCCCTTGGGGGGGGGGAGCGCATGCTGAATAACCCTTTCTTTCATAGGGGTTGCCTACCAAATATCCTACAAGCAGATATTTACAATATGATTCATAACAGTAGCAAAATTACAGTTGTAAAGTAGTAACTAAAATGATTTTTGTGGTTGGGGGGGGGGTCACCACACATGAGAAACAGTATAAAAGGGTCACAGCATTAGGAAGGTTGAGAACCACTGCTCTAAACTCTTGGCAAAGGAGTATGGAGAATCCAACTAAGAAAGGCTGGAAGACTGGGGTTAAAAATTCAAAGAAAGAATCATGACACATTCTTTTTGGTCACTGCTGCTGCTGAACAAGCCAGGGCCTGTCTGAACAGCCAAAGCTGGCTGCAACTCATGGTCCTCCTGCCTCTAACACATGAAAGCCATTAACAGAGGTATACACTGTCAAGTACAGTTACAGAACATTCTTAAAATACATACCACACCTCCTTTTACAGCTAAAGGGTCAAAGCTGAGTGGCTAACCATTAACTATGGTTCTTATTTAAGCTTCAGCAAAATAATCAGGCAGCCATGGCATCAACCTTAAGAAGTACAGGGGTTAAGAACCAATGTGCAATGAGAACTTTAGTTTCCTCATAGTTCTAATTCATTAGCCCTTTACTTATATGTAGCATGCTTACAAAATATAGATACAGAATTCAAAGTGTGGTTTATTAAACATTGAATAGCTTCTCTTCTAAAATACAATGTGGCAAAACAAAAATCCCCAAGGAAATGTCCAACTACACTGCAAAAACCATTGAGAAAGAAATCAGAATTTATAGCTGGGTTTGGTGGCATATACCTTTAATCCCAGCACTTAGGTGGCAGAGGCAGGTAGATCTCTTCCAGTTCAAGGCCAGCTTGGTCTACAGAGTGAGTTCCAGAATAGCTAGGGCTGTTACATAGAGAAACCATGTCTCAAAAAAACCAAAAGTGGGGAAAAGAAAGAAAGAAAGAAAGAAAAAGAAAGAGGGAGGGAGGGAATGAGAATTTGAGTTGGGAATACAGGTCAGCTGTAGAATGCTTTGAGTAGCATGCCATGAAGCCCTGGGTTCAATCCCCACACCTTATAAACCAGGAATGGTAATAATGTCTGTAATCCTAGCACTTAGGTAGGAAGAGGATCAGGAGTTCTAGGTCATTCTTGGTTCAGAGTGAGTTCAAGTCAGCATGGGATATGTGAGAATTTGTATAAAAAAAAAAAAGTCAAAATTTGATTTATGACAAGCTAGATTTAAATTTTTTTAAGTTTAGGGGTGTGATCAGAGTTAAAGTGCTTTGCAAATGTGAATCCCCAGATTTGAGCCTATGTCCTCTCTCTGAAAAAGAACAAAGCAAACACAAATGACAAAATTAAAATTTTGCTCCTAAACAAAGACATTTATTGGAATCTATCTGTATCTTAATCATGTCACTATTTTTATATACCTCACTATTTTTTAATCTCCCACAAGTAGTTTGCAAATTTCTGTGAGTAAGCAGTGTGCTTTTTTTTCAATCTCAAATACCTCTAACCTAAGCACATGCATGCATGCATGAGCCCCCATACATGTACACATACAGCACATGCAGTGCAGGGCTGTCATGCAGTTAAAGGTGGGTGGAGGTGAGACCGAGGACCACAAGCAAGCATGTATGTATCCCGTTACCATGTGTAACAGCCTTCCTTCCACTGGCCATGATGCCATCACACAGCTGGATGATTTTAGGAATTCCAATGATTTGTTTTGAATGGTAGCGTTCATAAGACAGTAATACCAGGAAGAAAAATATATTTGGAATAATTGCCTCTGATTCCCTAGAAACAAAAACACCCATTTAGACATTTCTTTATAAAAACTACAATAAGTGATATGCATACACAGCATAACATAAATCAAGACTCAACCTCAGGAGAAAGTACTAAAGTAGAGCAGACTCTGCAGCCTCATTAACCCCACCTGCACCAGCGGGCTGCCTGCCTCTGCCCACAGGGACAGTCTGACAATTAGGACAGTGAAGCTGCAGCAGGAGGGGGGGACAACTTAAGCACTGGATGCCAGCAGGTAAGATGATTCTGATGCTTCATTTTCCTTTCTTCTCTTAAAGAAATTCAGACATCAAGGAGAAAATGTTCCCTTGTCAAAACTATGGAGTCAAGGTGTCATAATCAGAACAAGACCTGGTTCTCTATATCCCAGGGACTCTCACAACACTCTCCAGTGCTATGCTTTACAAACTACTTATTAAGAACAGAAATTTTCAAAAATTACAAATTTTTGTATGTATGCACAAATTTGTATAGATGCACAAATGTTTCTACGCAAGTCTTGAGAAAGGTTTTCAGCAAGTGTTCAGAGGAATCAAAGTGGAAAGCATGTAAATCAGACTTCCATTGGATACTAGCAGCACTTGAAGCACCTGTCACTCTAAGGACCTAGGATTACATGTGTTACATGGCAAGGATGATCACTGAAGTACCTGAACTGGCCCACTTCAATGTACTCAAACTGCTTCAGCACAAAACCGATGAACACCTACATCAGGGAAAGAAAAGCTGCCATCAGTCACAGGCTTACCACATACTTCTACTGATCTGTGAACTATTCACAAGCACACACACAGCAGATTAGCTTGTTTATAGTCATGTTCTCCAAAGCTACTCTGAAGTCAGGTAACTGCAGAGTACCTTCAGACATGCCTTTAGGAACTGGTCAAGGCAGACAGCTTGGAATGGGCCTATAATCCCAGCACAAGAGGGGAATCAGGGCCAGCGGATGGAAGTTTGAGGTCAGCCTGGGCTACATGGTAGGTCTTTGTCTCACAAAACAAAGTGACTAAATACAGAGATGAATCCTCACTGAGAAAATAAGTAATAAATTCCAGTTATTACTCATAATCACATCTGGAAGACTGTGTCCAAAGAGTGGGCAACCAAGAGCACAATTCCTGCAGCACACAATGCCTAGATACTGTCTGTAACCTACACTAGAGAAGCCAGTAGGAAAGGCCAACCTTAGGAACAGAGACAGTTCCTGGGCTGAAGAGCCCATCTACTTCACTCTCACTTTCTGTGAGATTTCATCACCCTGGCAGAAGCTCCCACAGATGAACTTCAGAACTTATACATATTGTTGTGCAAATTTGGGGCATGCACAGACATTCAGCAGATGCTTGGTAAATCAGTATCTGAACTGAGTTTGTGCTTCAGTTTTGGGCATTTATCCCTCTACAGGATCCGATGATGAAAGTCGATGAAGCAAACAGGAGGCCAGAGTGCTCATGGTAAGAAAAACAGACTACCCGGAGGATGAGTAGGAAAGCTTTGCTGGTATGAGGCTCAGGGGCCCAGAGTGAAAGACATATATGCAGACAGGGGCACAGCACATAAAAAACGTGGAAGTCCTGGGCATTTTTCAATGTTAAGTAACAGGCAGTAAATTTTAGGAAGAAAAAAATTACCTTTCTGTTTTAGAGGAAACACTCTGGATAGAACAGAGTAACTATAGAAACTATCTGGTAAGACATCCAAGTCTACCTAACATATCTACTGATAAATTAATTTTCTGTCTATGATGGATGGCACAAATAGAGAACACAATTTTTACCTCTGCTGTATAGGAAAGTGAGAAGAGAAGACTGTAGCCTTATAGGTGTTCTAAGATGCATCCATCAGTGTTCTAGAGGCTGCAATCCTATCCTCCAGGTCCAGCCCAAGCCTGTTTCCTCTACAGTCCATGGCCCACAACTGTAGACCAGGTTGTTGGGGTATGGAAATGAAGTAGCACACTAGGGTGGTTTGAATAAGAAATTTTCTTCATAGACTCAGGTTTAAATGATCTCCTGCTGATAGTGTTTGGGAGATAACACCTTGCTGAAGAAAGTATGTCACTGAGTTCAGGCTTTAAAAGTTTATCACTTCACCCTACTTTTATTCTCTTTGCTTATTGAATGTGGATGGAGATATGAGCTTTCAACTTCCTGCTGCAGATATCTGTGGCCATGCCTCCCTGCATGATGTCCTTTTTTATTTTGGATTTTATGTGTTAATGTCTTGCCTACAGAAGAAGGTGTCAGACTCCTCGGAACTGGAGTCACAAAGGGGGTGCCGTGGGGGTGCTGGAGAATCAAATCTGGGACTTCTGGGAGAGCAGCAAGTGTCCTTAACTGCTGAGCCTTCTTTCCAGTCCCCATGATGGACTGATTCCAATCCCTCTGGAACCACAAGGCAAAATAAGTTTTCTTCTATGTTTCTTTTGGTCTTCTATTTTATATTAAAGCAGCAGAAAGTAACTAATTCAGAACTTCCTATGAGAGTGAGATATTGTAAAGAACCTCACTGTGAAAAGACTTTGGAACTTTGGAATAGGATAGTGGTTACAGTGGTACAGTATAAGCAGAGCTTACTGGGCAGTGAAGGGACCAGCTCCCCATTTCGGCAGCCATAACAGGCTAACAGGTGCTTGCCTGACCTTGCCTTGGTCACTAGGTGGTCAAATGCCTGCCTCATGGCAAGGAACCAATCAGAAGTTAGCTGGTGGTGCTATGCTTTACGGCTCTGGGTGTGCTTTACGGACAAGTGCACAGCAATGATGTGCAAAGCATAGCAACCGCCCTGGGAGGGCCTATCGGCCATAACAACCGGATGACCAATCAACACAGGGCAAACCCTCCAAGCCTGGAGGCACACCAATCCTGAGCCTGTGCGTACCCCTAGACACTCCCCTTACGCTGCTCTATAAGATCTCTATGCCATGGCTTCACCGCTTCATTCCTAGCCATCCTAGCCATCCGCCATGGTGGATAGATGAAAGGCCCACGCTAACATGAGGTTAGCTCGGTAAACAAATTGGTCCTGGATTGAGATCCTGGGGGCCTGAGCCTCCAGGGGTCTTTCAGGCAGTTGTAGAAGCCTAAGAGACAGTGCCAGAATAATGCCTTGCTCTTGAGGTTTTAGAAAGAAACAAGATCTCTATTACCAAATGGTTAAGAGGCCATTCATGTAATATTTTAGTAAAGAATCTGGTTGCTTTTTGCTCATGTCCTAAGAAGTTGCTTGAGGCTAAATTAAAAAATAATGGACTAACTTCTTTGATGCAGGAAATTTTAAAGACAGCATAACACGGAATCTATGGACTGGTTATTACTGATAACTCTAATGCAGGTCTACTCTGAAAAGGAACAACTGGGGCAGAAAGAAATAAAAAAATGTTCTGTTTAGAGAGAAAAAGCACTAGCAAGGTTAACATGGCTCCCCACCCCAGATGTGTGCTGAAAGTGAAGCTGTAATTGATATTAAGATTAGCGCCATTAAGGAGAGGCTTCCTAATCTGCATTGTAACAAGGGCAACACCTCATCCAGCTAAGTTTCTAGTGAAAGAAGGATGCCTAAGGGGCTGCTTGCTCCTAAAAAGTAACTGCTTCAAACAAGAAAGCTGTTGCTAGTGTGGTCAAAGGGGAGGAAGTCCATACCAAACTGTTGGCCAAACCTGGCAGAGTTTTCCATGTGGAACTGGCTTTGGAAGCATGGAAAATGCAATAGTGAGAGGATCATAGATTATTCTGTGGTTTCAGAGAGCTGCCAAGGCCAGGCAATATGAGGCAGAGGAGTCTTTGCAAGAAGGCCCCAAGAGCCCACTGCATGAAGCTGTGAAAGTTAAAGCCTGGATAATGATTGAGATACCAAGAAGTTGCAGATGTTAGAGCCTGAGCTATCTTCAAAGAGTTACATATAGGGAATGAAAGTAACCTAAGAAAGGGGGATAGAGGGGAGGAAGGAAGGGATGTATGCAGTAGCAGCAAAGCTTAAGGTGTTGGGCCATCTAAGCCCTTAAAAACTAAAGGACAAACAGAGGACAAGGAGCTATAGGTTTGATGTTTGCCCTGCTGGGTTTCAGCCTTACTTTGGGTCCAGCATTTCTTCACTGTGTCCCCATTCCTACATTTTGGAATGAGAATGTATATTCTATGGCATTGTAGATTAGAAGTATGTAATTTGCTTTAGATTTTACAAATCAAAGGGTGGTACAATTAAGAAATTGCCTTCAGTCTCAAACAGGACTTTGAATTTTTAAACAATGTTGAGACTGTAAGATTATGGGAGCTTTTGAAGTTGAACTAAGTGCATTTTGCATTATGATATGACCATGAGCTTATGAGGGTCAAGGAGTCTCCCCAAATGGCACATCCTTGTAATTCACACAGAAAGAGTAGCCCAAGATCATAGCACAAAAGTGATGACCAATTTTTAACAATGGAAAGCCATGGACCTAAGGTGTCCCTGAAGAGAATTTGTATTTATAAACATATTATAAACATGATTAGTGGGCAAGGCATGGTGGTACATGCTTTTAATCTCAGAACTTAGGAAGCAGAGGCAGATGGAACTTAGTAAGTTCAAGGCCAGCCAGATGTAAAAAGTGTGAGTTCCAGGACAGCCAGGGCTGCTACACAGAGAAATCCTGTGTGTATATGGGAGGGGCGGGGGCATGGATATGACTAGTGAAATGTTATAATGACAGGAATTGCATGAGAAAGGCAAAGTGAGTTTGAAGAGAGGAGTTCAGATCCGAGTTTCACAGCCCTATATGATGTAGGAATGAGGTGCTCAGCTATGGGCCTGATGATTATATCAGTGGTTGAAATTATATAATGGCCATAAATGATATCTTGATGTTTTACTGTTATTTTTTATAACCCATTGAGTCCAACTAGTGCTACCCTACCACAAAGAAAAAATGACAACCCCTCCGGTGGGTCTCCTGAGCCCCAACCCCAACCATGCTGGGATGTTGACTGGTTTGATCCTGTAATTGCAAGAGCTCTGTCATGTCCAGAAAACAGCATTTCACAGCACTCCTCCATATCCTCCACCCCTAACATTTTTTTCCATACCTCGACCCCAATTCTGCAGTGTTCCCTGAGCCTTAGAGGAAAGAGGGGGCTTGATATAGATGTCCCATTGAGGGCTGAGCACTCAACAACCACTTACTTGACCACTGCCCACTGAAAAGAAGAAGCTTCTCTGATCAAATGATCACCTGTTTTTATTTCTATTTATTTACTTATCTATCTGCTTGTTTCTTTACTTTTTTTTTTTTTTTTTTTTTTTTGAGACAGGGTTTCTCTGTGTATCCCAGGGTGTCCTTGAACTCAAAGATCCTCCTGCCTCTGACTCCAAAGTGCTGGGATTAAAGGTGTACACCATCACCAATGGCTGAAGATCACCAGTTTTTAAGAAGTCTGAATTTTGCATAAATGCCCCTTCCCATCACAATAAATTTTAAATTATATCTTACAATTAAAAAAACTTATTTTGGAGTTGCAATTAGGTATACAGATGTGGAAAACCCACTGAAATTTCTAAAGCCTAACAAACTCCACTGGAACATGGTACAGATTTGGGACAGTATCTTTTCAGTTTCAATTTGTATTCAGTTAGAAATAGGTATGGTGAATACCAAGCAGAGACAAACCTGATCCGAATCCAGCAGACAATAATTGACCCGTAGCTGAACCAGCTGTGCCAGCAAATCCAAAACCTGCTTCTGCAACTGTACAGATGTCGTTGTGGTGTACTGCTTCAATGCTTTTATAACAAGAGGCTCAAATAATCTAATGTGATTGTGAATAGCATTCTATGGGGGAAAAAAATGAAAGAAACCACGGTTACAATTAGAAGCTTCTAGCAACCAATCTAGAAAGTGCTGAGCTCCATTTGCATCCCTGTGGCATGGCCCACATGCCATCTCTAGCTGCAGCACCATTCACCTTATCCGCACGGTTCTTTGTGACGCTTGTGAGGTTCGTCTTCAATTGGGCAGACACTTTCTGGAGTACATCAAACCACCTAACAAATGGCCAAAAGCAGAAACAACAAATACCTTTTAATAATCTCCTCTGTACTCAGCCATACATCATCAGTTCAACTTCATGTTCAAAAAATCAGACCATATCAAAATGAGACTTAGAAAGGCCACTGGATACAAGAGCAACATGTGCTGGAGATAGCAGGACTCATCTGAGTGTGCAGATACACAGTACCTGTGCTGTGCCTGCAGAAGTTATGCAAGCCCATGTTTGTTGCTACAGGAAACCCACTCCTCAGTCCACTCTCTAAGAGGGCTTGAGAAGTGAGAATTGTCTGGAAGATAGGTAATTTACATATATCACTTGGTTTTCTTAGGGTAAGACTGATGAATTCCGTAAGTTCAACATCAGCCTAAAAAGCAGCATAGAGAGAGAGACTCATCTCATAAAATGTTTGAAAATACAGCAAAACAAGAGATATGGGCACATACATGAACATCAAGATAAAGCCCAGAATAGGAGTATTTTCCCTGATTCCAATAATGTCTGATCATCATAAAAAGGAAAGGATTTTATTACCACTCCTACACAGAGTAGCATTTCAAAATAGGGCTACAATAGAGCTCAATGGTAAAGTACAAACATGCCTAGCAAATGAGGTCCTGAAAGAAAGGAGAAATAGAGGGAGAGACTTCCACATTGCTGGCATTAAAAAGATTAACGTGAATTCATGTAGAAATCCAAAATAACACACCCCAGATTTTGTGTGCCCTTTAATAGCTCTAAAAACTAGCACCACCATGCCAATTTGAAGTTGGTCTTTTGCATCATAGAACAAAGAGGCACCATGACACATGCCATCTTACTATAAGGAATGCCATTCATGAGCCCTGGCAAGCACCAAATGCTTTCAATAGGTGAGGTCACGCATATACCACTTCTAGTCTGGGGCAGGATTTGAAAGTTAGAAATTATGCTTCACAGGCAGCCAGTTTGGGTTCTTCCTCTCCAGACTGCCACCTCTGGATGGCAGACTGCAGCATAACTCAGCCAGTAGTGTAGCCTTCAGGGCAGGGCTACACATTACTCATCTTCGTATCAATAACTATTACCCTGAGGCATCATGCTCCTGCTCCGCCTGCACCATGTTCCTCAGACTGGCATCAGCCAAGGCCTGCGTGAAGTGTGTGTACGGTGCCATGAAGCAGTAGTGATATAAGCCTGGCCTCACACTGGAAGAGCCAAGGCGCTGTGCTCGGCATTGAGACTTGCTGGGGTTCGAAGATAAGCCATCAAACTGTGAGGCCAAGTTTGTCCCAAAGAGAGTCTTCAATAGCTAGAATGAAAGAATTGAAACATCAATATATATCACTTAATATAGATTTAATGTAGATGAGCAGCACAGGCCCGTCTGTTATCCCATCTGGTGGACAGGGGTTAGGATGGACATGACTGAAATAGGCAAGTTGCAAGTTCCAGGTGAGCCTGGGGGCAACTTAGTGAGATCATGTTTCAAAATTTAAAACGTCTGTCTTTCCTAGAATACACAAAGCCAGGTTCAACCCTCAGTACCACTACTAAAATGAAGAAGGGAAAACAAAACCAAACCAAAAGTAAACACCCTTTAAGACTCTCCTTTCCCAGTAGCAAATCCAGCAGGAATATATGATGGAAAGTTTTGTTGTGAATCCCTGTGAGTCAGTACCTCAGAAGATTCCCACCATGTGGTGCCACTGTGCCTGGGATTCTCTGTAGTTCTAAGTGAAAAGAGCCTTTTTCCCACCGGGATAGGGTGACAAACAAAGGCAAAGCAATGAGGACCAGTGCTGCTTTTGATGCCTTCTGCCCCCTCACAGTCCCAATCATAGAGCAAGCAAGAGTGGCAGTGAGAGACACTCAGCCCTTCCTGATACCACACCATGAGCACCAGCTTCTAAAAAGGGAACTAAATTTTGTTGCTTTGGCCTGAGGAGTTAGCCCGAATCCCAATGGACAGGAAATGACACTCACCTGCTGAACACAGACAGTTGCCATCATTGGTTCTCGACTAAAGCAGGATTTCAGATAACCAAGGACCTCTTCAACACACTGAAAGGAAGAGGATGATATTACATTACTCACTGGTGACCATTATTGTTGCCAATTGGGAATAAGACAATCTCCATATAAACTGTATAAATGTCAGAGAAAATCAGATTAATATTTTCAATCAATCATCTCAACAGAGTCACAAGAACTCCTGTATCTACAATTATATGAAAACTGCTTTCATGTACATTTATGTACTGAGTCTGTCATTCAATCATTCAGTAACTAATCAAGTATCTACATTCATCCTGTTTTCAGGGCAGGCACTGAGAAATGTACAAAGGGGTCAAAAGCTTGTGGACCCTGAATGTAATGTTTAAGGCACTGTGAGAGCCACTGCCAATAACCCTCACTGCAGCCTGCACAGAACACTCAGTGCACCAGTGAAATGATACCAGGTGCTACAAATATAGAGAAAGGACGCAATTGTTGGCCCTCTAGGAGTTCCAGAATTGTAAGGAATCAGGTCACTACCACAGATGCCACAATGTAATATTGAGAGGTTTCCCTCCTCTTTCTGAAATGATGAAAATATATTTTAAAAAGACTCCAGCTTTGACACCACAGTTCTCAGACACTGGACATTAGGCCATAAAGACCAGTGACCCTGAAAGGTGAGACAAAGCAAGGCCCTAGATAAGGATGGTAAGAACGTTCCCAGGCTGTGACACATCAAGGGGACAGAAGCCAGGCTGGAGGGAAACAAAAACCCCAAGAACACTGCAGCTCCCAGGGTATGGTACCAAGAAGACAAGTCATCCAGAGATTCCTGGAGATCTTGGGAAGGAATACTCCAAAGACAATTAAGGAAGCTGCCAAAGGCAAGGCCTAAGACACAGTCATGAGAAGAACTGAAGGAGTAGTACTGGGCACTCACACAGGCTGGGAACAGGCCCTGCTCTACCAGCAGACAGGCAAAGGGTAGAATGTTCAGTTAGATGTGACTTCTCTAGGAGAGGAGAATAATGAAACCAGCTCAGGTACCACAGCAACCCATCTGACAAACTGTAAAAGCAAGGGAAGAGCAGCTGGTTTCATGTAACAGTACTAGATTCCATAAGATAGCTGATGACAACAGAATACAAAATACCTGGCACTCAACAGAAAAGTTTGCAATGCCAGGCATCCAGTCAAAGATTACCAGGCAAGCAAGGAAACCCAATCAATAATAAAAATAAACATAATCATTTAGCCAAAAACCTAGAATTGAGAAAATTTTAGTTAGCAAAGTATATCAAATCAGTTATTAATTACAACTGTATTTAAAAAAATTAAATTCAGGCACAAATGGAACATCTACATTACACACCCTTCACAAGGCTCAGGGACCACCTCAAAACAAGGGACAGAAATACTGTAAGAACCAGGAGTCAGAGAGTGACTTCTTGACATGAACTGCTACGATCATGAACTCACAGCATCTGTGAGTGTCTGTACAAGATCAAGCCAGTTAACATCCTAGTAGGAAGTGAGATGGGTTCATAAGCCCCCACCCCTAACTGAGGAGCTATGGACAGTTGATGGCTTCAGAAGGAAGGAGAGTCAGTTTTCTTTAAGAGCACAGAGCCTACTTGATCTGCCACATCCCAGTGGATGGCCTCACACTGAGAAGTATAAACAACAAAAAGTGGAGTTGATGGATTCTTAAATTGGGGGGGGGGGGCACAAGGAGCAAGGACCATGGGACAGTTGAGAATAAAGATGATCAGAATATGTTACATAAAAATTTTAAAGAATTAACAAAAATATTTATTTAAAACAGTTAAGTAGCTCAATGGTTAAAAACACTTGTTGCATAATCATTAGGGCCAGAATTCTGATCCCAGCATCCATGGAACAAGCTGGGTAACCTGTGCACACCTATAACCCTAACTCCAAGGAGAAAAGAGATAAGATTGCTGGCTTCTAGCACAGCAGAAAAAAATGGAGTGCCCAATTTAGGGAAAGAAATAGGTGGAGATAATACTCTTCTGCCATCCATGTGGCAGGTACCACGTGCACACACACACATGAATAAATAAACTTTTAGGTTAGATAAAGACAGGGAATTTAAAGAGATATAAATCAAACTGCTAATGATAAAGACTATAATGTTAATGATGAAAGATACAATTGATGGGATTTTATAGTAAAGCAGATTGGGGGGGGGGGAAGCTTAGAGAACCTGAAGACTGTAACAGTAACGATGAAAGGAAAAGGAGATAAAGTAATTAAAAAAAAAAAAAAAAACTAAAAAGAGGAGCCAGAAAGACAGTTAAGAGCAGATGCTGTCTTGCAGAGGACCTGAGTTGGGCTCCCAGAACCCACATTAGGTGGCTCACAACCACCCACAACTCCAGCTTTAGGGGCTCTGGTGCCCTTTTCTGAATTCTGCCAGCACCTGTGCTCACATGTACGTACCACACACAGACACAAACATATACACATAATTAAATATGAATCTAGAAAAATAAAACCCAAATCCTGAAAAGAGTAATAGTAAGCTAAGGGCAATTTCAAGCAACTAAATATGGGTTTTTTAGAAGATAATCAAAAGACCTTTAAGAGACAGGATGAGGGAAAGGGTACCAAAATATTTAAGTAAATAGCTCCAACTTTTCTCAACTGTGGAAAACTACAAAGCCCAAGATCCAAGTAATTCAACAAATCCAAAGTACAAGAAACAGAGATGAAAGGAAAACCATATCAAGACACATGGTAATAAAATCACTCAAAACCAGCATGAACTCTAAAGAGAAGTCAGAGGAAACACAACACAGATTAGTAAGTTATATGGGGAAAAGTGTATTATATACAATGCAAGCAAAACTCACACATAATACATTTCAGCTATGTATAAAAATTGGTGTGAAATAACAAGATCTACTTGACAGTGGGAAAATGAAGGCTATTTGTTAATATTATGGAATTATGACAGGGGCTACTCATACTAGGAGCAAAGCTATAAGGTATATGAGATACTCAAATCAATTCTCCTTATTCATTTCTTTTTGATATAGGTGGTCTTTGAGCTCCTGCCACAGCTTCCCAAGTCGCAGCCTCTGGTGGGATTATAGGTATGTACCGTTATATCTAACTTAGCAGGTATAAACAACATAACCAGCTTTCAAACTGATTCTTGAGAACATCTGTTCATTAAACAAATGTCCACTGAATGTTACTGTATTCAGGCACTGCTGAAGGCAATGAAGAGACAAATTTGTAAAATAGTGTTGCCTAATAGAATGGGACAAAGACAAGAATAAGTGTGGGAGAAAAGTTCAGTGTCCATACTGAACTTCTGTAGGCTACTTTCCTTATCACCACTCCCTAAACAATACAGTGTAACAACTATATACATGGTGTTATAAGTCATTTCAAGATAATTTAGTCTTATATGCAGATGTGGGTAGGCTTTCATACAAGGAATATTAGCATGAGTAGGTTTTGACATCTGGCTGGCAGGGCCTGGGACAACAATATTGTATTTCACTTGAAGATACAAGTTGAAAATGGCTATTTGACTTACCGTGGGAGTATAGTAGAAATAAGATATGCTGTTAGAGATTAAAGCAAAAATTTTAGCAATGACAGGACATAGGTGTGAGCATATGGGCTGGGGAAAAAAAGATCACTATACTCAAAACTACAGAACATGAGCCCAGATCTGCTGCTACTTTTTTGAGCTATGGATGGAGTCAGTCAGCACTCTTGCTAATCTGACTTCATTCCTTTCCATTAAAAAAGGTCAAAGGAGAAAAAAAGGATCCTGTGAGCACATTTTCAACATTTTCTATACTAAATGAGGTTTAAGAAAAACCCTTAAATGAAAAAAATGTGATAACAGACCTAATAGACTGCCTGGGTACATACACTGCAGTTCTGGACACAAATGGGATGCAGTCTCCCCAGCTGCTGTAGCTGTAGATGTGCCTGCAGCACATGACTAGGTGTCATGTGAAGTACTCCGACCCAGGTTCAAGGAAAACAGATCAGACACGAACCTTTCCAATATCCTGCAGTGTTGCCAGTTCTAGAATCTGAGAGAGGACGTCCAAGGCAGAGCGCAGGAACCCCCCAAACTTTTCAGTGCTGTTCTGAAGATCTAAGGTGACCTTGGCAAGGTGGAAGGAGAGAGCACACGGTTACTGGCACCACCGAAGTCTGTTTATCTACAATAAAGACACAAATGTCATCTGCTGCGGGAGATGCTTCTGCAGTGCTGACCTAGATTCTCACCATCTCAGGGGTGAATGGTCACTGTCAATTTCAGATGTAGTCAAATCAGTTGGAGGGTGATGATTCTAAACACTTCTGCTTAACCGAAGTATATACCAATTCCCCTATTTCTATAGACTCAGATGCGGGGGACTGCTTCTGCAAAGAGCCAGTAGCAAAATATCACAACAGAAAAAAACCTGCCCACTGAACTTGAACCTAACCACCCATGATGAAAGGGTCAAAGGCAGAAGACATGGAACAGGAAATGAGAGTGGGCCTTGACAGTTTCTTGACGAAACACTACACTTTCTAGCTTTCCATGAGAACTGTGTAGGTCACCTCTGCCTTAATAAGAGGCTGCATCCCATCTTCTTCTGTTGGCATTTTGGCCATCCATACAGATGGGTAACAAAAGTGCCCTCCTCATCATGTTCTGCCTAAGGTCAAACCAAGCCTCTTTTTTTCACCTCTGTCTCTCTACAGCTGCCTTTAATAATTTAAACCTGTAATGGGAAATCTGAGCTCACCACCCACTCAAGCCACCTACAGAAAACTTCCCTGGCTTTCATACTCTTCCTGGCAGGGCCAGCTGTTTCTCTCGAGCAACCTTTTCTTTTTACTGTCTCCACCCTTTCTTTCTCACCTTAACACAGTCTGACTTTCCAGGTAGGAGGCCACCCTGCAATCAACTAGAACACACATGCAACATACCATACACCAGGACAAGGTAAATAGTGGGACTTAACTCAGGGGCACCATAGTTAGGTCTGGGAGTTCACTGTAGCTCTCTTTTGTCTCTCTCCCTCAAAGGCACTGGAGACATTCCACTGGCTTTAGAAACTTTGGCTGAGAATTCTTATTCTGGGAACTCTCTACTGCCCTACCCCTTATTCAGTCAAAAGCCCTGAGAACCTTCTACTAACCCTATGGTTTCTTTCTTTCTTTCTTTTCTTTCTTTCTTTCTTTCTTTTCTTTCTTTCTTTCTTCTTTTCTTTTTCCTTTCTTTCATTCATTCATTCTTTTCTTCTTCTTCTTCCTAGACATGGTTTCTTTGTGTAACAATCCTGACTGTCCTGAAACTCATTCTGTAGACCAGGCTGGCCTTGAACTCACAGTGCTGAGATTAAAGGCGTGTACCACCATTGGTGGGCCTGGCCCTGTAGTTTCTTAACCTTGGGATTATAGAGTGTAAGGACACCCCCTTACTTTGGAGGCTCATTTGGAGCAGTTGGTCAATTTGAAGCTTTGCAGACACTCTAAGAAGCTGAATACTAACCCTTGTTTTTACCTTAATCTTGGGTCCCACCATGGGTTCCAAATTCTCCATTTCAAAGTATACACCCTCAGCCTGGATATGGGCTAACCTAAAAAGCTCCATTTGGGAGACCTAATACTGGTTTCTCCCTCCAAGTTTGTCCCTGTAAGTGAATTAATTACATTTTTACTCAGCATGACTACAAATATAGTTCTGAGCACATTAAATAATTTGATCATTATATGATGATTAACCATTAACATATATCTTTAACAATTCACAATAAATAAGTAGTAATTCTTTTTCTTTTCTTTCTTTCTTTCCTTCTTTCTTTTTCTTTCTTTCTTTCTTTTTTTTTTTTTTTTGGAGAAAGGGTTTCTCTGTGTGGAACTCTGGCTGTCCTGGAACTCACTCTGTAGACCAGGTTGACCTCAAACTCACAGAGATTCACCTGCCTTTACCTCTCAAGTGCTGGGATTAAAGGCGTGCACCATCACCACCTGGCCGTAATTCTTTTTATAGGATTTTATAATTTTATTGTCGACAAGTATGAACCTTAAAAAGTTCTAATTCTTGACCTTCTCTACTCTCTCTACTCCCTTAGAGCCAATCCCCCAGTCTCCTCCCTAACAATGTAACACATAACCAGCTGCAGCCTCCTTTAACCCAGCCCACATCTCTTGTGGATTCCACAGACCATGCCTCTATAAATAAATAAATAAATAAACAAATAAATAAATAAATAAATAATCATGAAATGATTCCTAATGATATTCTGCTATACTTTACTCAGACTGGTGCCTTACCCAGTTGTCGTCAGAGAGGCTTACCCCGGCAACAGATGGGAGTGGAGAGAGAGACCCATAGCCAAATATTATGCAGTAACATAGTCTAAATTGGAGGTCTCCACTGGGTCCCTCCCCTTGTGGTTAGAGGAATCATGTGGAAGAGGTGACGGGAAGACTGTAAGAGGGATAGAGGACACCAGGAGAACACAGCCTACTGAATCAATTAAGTATGGTGCATATGGGTCACACAGACTGAAGTAGCAAGCACGGGCCCTGCAGGGGTCTGCACTAGGTCCTCTGTGTATATTTTATGGCTGTTAGCTTGGTGTTTTTGTGGGACTTCTAACTGTGGGGGCCAATGTGCCTTTGACTCTTTTGCCTGCTCTTGGAACTATTGTCCAGCCTCAGTGTGAGGGCTTTTGCCTTGCCATATTGTATTTTGCTTTTTTGTGTTTGGTTGTTGTTTCGAAGGGCTGCTCTTTTCTGAAGGGAGACAGAGTGGAAGTGAAGCTAGAGAGGGGAGAAGTGAAGAAGCTGGGAGAAGTGGAGGGAAGGCAAACTGTGGTTGGGATGTATTGTATGAGAGAAGAATCTATTTTCTTTCTTTTCTTTGAGACAGGGTTTCTCTGTTTAATAGTCTTGGCTGTACTGTATCTCAGTTTGTAGAATAGGCTGGCCTTGAACTCAGAGAGCCAAATTCCAAGACAGCCAGGGCTACACAAAGAACCCTGCCAGGAAAAAACAACAACAAAAAGGTACTGTTTTTGAGAGCTAAATAATAGCTGGCATTGTTAATATTTGAAACAAATATACAAAATTGACCATACTTGGAAGCAACAAATATCACTTAGACACTTTCTGTTCAGATTCATTACTTGAATGCTGACTTTAACCGATTTCTCTTTCAAAGTTTCCAGAAGCTCACTCCTTATGAGGAGTATGATGTAAGCAAACAGCTAACTACAGTTAGTTACCTTTTCCTTCTACATAACTCTGGTACATGGTTCAGCCAGTTGTACAATTGCATTTAACCTTATGTTAACTTTATACTTTAACCTTACATTGATTCATGTTAATCTTGTTGTAAAAGTTTTCCTCATGGAACTCTGTCTCTGAATATCCCCACAAAGTTTTACAGTCATTACCTCCTGACTTAACGTTACAATGGATCTTTACCAACTGTTGTTTTATTGTGGCCCCTTGGATGGACCCTCTTTGGAGGCTCTCTAACTGCTGCTCCCCTCATCAACCATGTGTCAGCCTTGAAGCAGTTGCCATGAGACCAACACCCCCAAATCCCTAAAAGCAGTATGGGTGACCTCTGAAAGGGAACTAATGGGCCTTGGGCCATCCAACTCATCTTCTGGACATTTGGAGGTGGCAGGTATGACCTAACACCTAAAACAGCTACACTAAAATCTTCTTTGGATCAATTAATCTCTCTGTCTCATCAGTTCAGATCAGCTTAAACATCCTTACGGACCAGCTTGACTCCTGAAATGCTGCAGTACTCCAGAGTTAAAAAGGGCTATTAGATCTAACTTCTGCTCTGGGATTTGTGTTCTCTTCTGTGAACATGCAGCTTCCAGGCCAACAAATCCTATTTGAAAAAAACAAAACAAAACAAAACAAAAAAACCTACAAGCCTCCTCCTGCTTATGAGCTCTGGTTCCCTCCCACCCTGGCTCCTGCCTTAGGTCACTCCTTTCCTCCTCCTTACACTCCTCACACTTATGTTTTTACCTTTTAAATGCGTTACTTACTGAACCCCACCTTATACCCATGCAAAATGTTCCACATAAGCTTTCCCACCCTACATCAGCTACATTTGCTCCTCATATACTACAAAAAGATCTTTTAGATACTGGATAAACTAAAAGGTACCTTCATCCCTTTCACCCCAGGCCAGGTACCATTCTTTACATTAGAGTCTTATATTTTCTTCTATTTCCTTCTATTATTTTCTTCTATTTCCTTCTGTAGCTCCCTGCTATTCTGCTAATGGAACCAGTGGCTGTCACCCTGAATCAACTCTATACCCACTGTCTCTCACCAATCTACTGTCTCTCCTGCCTCTGCTCCTCCCTATCCCTCAACCTTCCTGGAGAAAATCTTTCAGTTCTACTCTATAACCACATCATCTGCCCTCTGAGAATTATTTTTCAGGTGTCTTAATTGCCTGATCCACCTCAGCCAACCAAAATAAAACTGCCTCCCTGCTATATGACCAAAGGACACCCTCTTCAATGAACCCAGACCTACCACCTCCATCAAAGACCCTCCTCAGCAGAAAACATCTCACTCCCCTGCCCTACATGTTTTATATCCTCCCAAGAGTTAGGATTGATGGTTTCCTGCTTGAAGACTATACTTTCCAGCTTTCCTTATGACTGTGAAAGTCATTTCTGCCCCATACAGGGCAGCATCCCATCTTCTTCTGTTAGGCACTTTAGCCATCTACATATAGGTGACAAAATATTCCCTTGCCATTGTAAGGATTCAGGCATTATGCTGGCCTGCCCCTGTTACCTGGCAGGATACACTCAGACAGTACTCTGGTCAGCCCAGGGTTTCATGAGTACTAACTAGTCTGCAAGCAGATGCAAAGGACCCCTTTAAAAGACAGGCCCCCGCCCACTTACACTCTCTTTCTGCTTTTGCCTTTCTCTTCTCTTGCTCTCTTGCCCTTTGCCCCTTTCTCTCTCTGTCTCTTCTCCCCTCTTGCTCTCCTCCCTCCTTAATAAACTCCATGGATAATGTATCTCTTGGTTCAGGTTCCATCATGCGCCCAGAAACTTAAGCAAAAGAACAACAGCCATGAATATAAACATGGTCCCGCCTATGGTCAGACAGATCTTCTGTCTCTCTACAGATGCTTTTATATAATCTAGTAGGTCTGACTCTGGGGTGATTGGGATCAATCTCAGTGTGCCAAGAACAGAAGAGTCACCCAGCAGTGAGACCTGAGATCCCAAGGCTCAGAACAAAGCAATGATGTCATGTAGGATTAAAGGCCTAATGAAGAATGAGCTCTACTCCAATAGGCAAGAAGATCCTTCTTTACCCAGGGAGAGAGGTAATGGGAGGGGAGGAGAATGGAAGCAGAGGAAGCAGGCAAGGAGTGGGTAGAGAACAGGAGACTCAGTTAAGAATGAAGGAAAGACAAGGTGAGAAGATACACAGCAGGGTAGAACAGCTACTCAAAACACACAAACTCAAGAGTTAAAGAAGTGGGACCAGAGAGCAAAGCAGAAGTCTGAGGTATTGGGGAAGCCAAGGTTAAAACTAAATACCCATTTTAGGAACATTTTGTTTCAGGAACAAAGAGGGCCAACATGAGCACACACTGGGAGCATGGCAAAAGGTTCCCATGTGACAGATGATGTGAGCAGAAATGAGCAGAACACTTTACATGTGACTACTCTACTATGGGCCGACAGAAGAGTACATTAACAGAGCTTTAAGCATTATCACTAGCATTCAAAAGAAGAATCTATAAACCCGGTAGACAATTACTAATACCAGTTCTTTAAAAACTTCTTTTTAACTTTCATAAATTTCTGAAGTGAGAAAAGAAGTTTTAACAAATAGGTAAAACAGACAGTATCCATAAAATCATAAAGAAAAATGGGAGTTACACCAGAAAACTGCAGTAATTTTAAAATGTACTTCTATAGCAGGGCATTGGTGGCACATGCCTTTAGTCCCAGCACTTAGGAGGCAGAGGCCAGTAGATCTCTGTGAGTTTGAGGCTCTGAGATTTGAGGTCAATTCTGGTCAAGCCAAAGTTAGACAGATAAGACCCCAGTCTCAAAATTAATTAATTGAATTAAAAAATAGAAATATGTGCTAATAAATGAGTGACCATCTGGTGTAACAAAAACATAAATGAAACCATACAATCCAACATTTTAGCATTTGATAAAGACAGGATTTCAAATCAATAAGGGCAGGCCTACAAATTATTCATTCACGTTAGAATAATTGGGGGGGTGTGGAGAATGTAAAACTCAGACCCATCATCCAGAAGCCACTGCAAAGCTGAATTGAAGGCCATCTGGCAAAGGAGGCTCCACATTGATAGAAAACACCCAACTGACAATGGTACTAGTGTGCAGACACCCAGGTTAAGGTCTGTAGTGACCACCTGCTTTTCTCCCCTGAGATTATAATCATGGTTTGTATTGGGCAGTTGCACTATATTATGGGACTCACAGAGGGATGGGTACATGAAACCTGCTTGGCTTGGCTGTCTTCAGGACATTGCAGTGACGAATCTTACCTATAAACAAGATTATGTGCTGAGCCCCAGGAGTCCTTGAGAACTGTCTCTGAACCCAAGTTATTCTTGGGAAGTCAATAAACAAACAACACCCAGAGGCCACAGGAAATCATTTCTCTATTACAAAATTCCTAATATTTGTTAAGGTACTATAAACCAAGCTAGAAGACAAACTTGGAAGGAAAAATTTAAGTCCTATTCACAGGGCTTCTTTCTATGTAAATATGCACATGGGTTCATGGACATGCATCCCAATGGAAATACATGTTCAGAAATAAGCAGGGGGTAGTACCTTATAGTTGGCATGAGTGGCTTTCAGGACATCATGCAGTTTGAGGTAGGAAGGGAGATGGTAGAAACTCCCCAATGAAGAAGATTTACTTGCTGTGACAGGTCCTGAGGTGTCTGATTGTCGAGAGGCTTAGAAAAAGAAAACAAAACAAACAACAACAACAAAAACCAAAATTTAAGCTTTTTAGATACAAGTTAAAAACTTCAAGTTTAACAGCAATTACTACAATGATGGCTTTTCAAAATGGTCTAGCAGAAACATTCAACTCTTTTTACCTCCTGACTTTTGAAGTAATGTGTGCTGGGAGGTAATGAAGAATTGGCTAAAATACTAAGAGCCTGAGAGTAAAAGAATTGAAAGAAACGATGAACATAAGGCTGACATAGTTGTCTGTGGTTTCAGCCAGTCTTTTCTGCTGACTGAATGGCTGAAGCCAACCTCAGTATCTATGGGCCCATTAAGCAATTAAGTGCCAGCACTCAGGAGGCAGAAGTAGGAGGATCTCTGTGAGTTCGAGACCAGCCTGGTCTACAAGAGCTAGTTCCAGGACAGCCTCCAAAGCCACAGAGAAACACTGTTTCGAAAAACCAAAAAAAAAAATTTTTTAAAAAAAAAAAAAAAAAAAAAAAAAAAAAAAAAAAAAGGTAATTAAGCAATATGGACATGTTCTGTAAAGGGCATATACATCACTAAAGTGCCAAGCAGAACAGTTTCCTCCAGCTTTAAGGACTTCTCAATGGTTTGAGGGAACATCAGTCACATTTTCAAGCCTGCAGCTTTTAAGCAGGTAAATCCTCCTGCATTATGATAGCCAATCCTTAGAATGAGCATCTCTTAAGATTTCATAGTTAGTCAAAGGATACAAAACATTTACCTAATACCTTCAAAAGGCCTATTATACAGCCCTGCTACAAAGTTAACAATTTATCAAATACATGAAAATCATGAGGGAAGGAAGATTTAAAGCTTTCTCATCAGAAAAAAATCACAACTACTGAGCTAAGGCATATATGAGGCTTACATACACTGGTTTCTCAGCATGTGTATACCAAGACTGCTGTGAGAGGGTGTGCACAGCAGGTAGCCCACAGGACACAATGGTCACCCCCTGCTTCCATTCCAACAATGGCACAGAGAGGGACTCTGTTATTTTGACTATGCCAAACTTCTGGCCCTTTTGCCCTGTCATCTCCCTCAGTACAGAAGCACCTCCAAACTTCTGTGTGTTTTCTAGACTCCCCCAAATCAAATGACTTTATTGCCACGGTGTCTTTCTGTCGATGCCCCTCTTCTCTGTTTTAGATAGAACTCACTTCAAAAGCCAAACTGGCCTCAAACTCTCAATCCTCCAGAATCTCAGCCTCTGGACTGGTTGGATTAAAAATATATCATATTTTGCTCCCACTGTCTCGTTACCTCTCCCAAACACAAATCCTCCATTTCTCTTATCATAATTCTTCTCATATCCCAATTCTGTTTTCTTTACTAACACCACCCTCACCTACTCCTAGTCATCTTTGTTCTTTCCATTACTGAAAATTGAGTCCTCCCCAAAATTTGGATTCCTTGCTATATAGCAAGCTGCCTCCAAAGTAAAGTGACAGCTTATCATGCAGACACTAATGAGCACCCAGAGAACCCTTCCCTAACTGTACTGCTATGAACCAGCTGTTTATAAGGAACATACACTTCTGCACCACAGGCAGCAGCCTGGCCCCAGAAACTGCTTCCTACCTGCACTGGTCTCACCACCTTTCTTGGGACTCATTGGAGCAGAAGCTTGTTCTCCTGGTTCTTTCTCCTTCCCTTTCCGTCGAATAGGACTTAGAGAAGGGGGGTTTGTTAGAGAAGGCAAAGCTGCCTAAAATAGAAAACAAAAATGTAATGGGATAAAGCAAATACAGGAACCAGAAACTAAAACTGTTAATACACACAGTTCCACTAAGTACTGGAAACCGCTAGCCCAGGCAACTTCATGGCCTTTGAGCTTTTATTACAGAGCTTGGATACTAAAGAAATAACTCTACTCTCACCCACACAACTGTACATAGCAGTATGGCTTTGAACTTCCTCACATCAGCACTGAAAATGGGTTGGAGGAGGACCACCAGAGAGTTAAAAGAACTTGAGGTCAATGGTACCCCCAACCCTGTCCCCTCAAATAGCAGGCAATCAGGACATTTTATGTGAACCATCACATGAGCAAGCACAAGTGAGGAAACAGGTTTCTGCCCAATGTCACAGCTGAAACTCAGAAAAGCTGCAAGTCAACAACAGCCCAGATGTGGCCCATGCTCTCCAATATTCAACTCCAAGGTTATATGGGACAATCAGGCCCCTACAAAGTAGGGAAGTAAGCTCAGGAGAGTAGAGACAACATGTAGATGCAGGCACAATCAGGTCTTTGCTATGCTCTTCACTCCCTTCCTGGCCTCAGCAAAGGGCCTGCTCACTGTCTGCACCCCTGCCCTATCCTTCTGTTGAAATAACAGAGATGCAAAGAGGAAAGGGCTTCCGAGTGATGAGGTCATGGTGGCAGGGTCCTCATAAATAGGATCAGTGCTCCTATGAAAAGAGATCCCAGGAGTTCCCTTACTCCATCTACCATGAGGCCAGTCTTTACCAAGGACCAAATCTGTCAGTGCCTTGATCTTAGAATTCTCAGCTTTTAGAACTGTGAGAAATAAATAGCCACCAAAGTTCTGTTATGATGGTGACCCAATCTAGGTGAGGCACTACATACCTCTGATCCTTATCTATAAAGACAGCAGCATATCAGGACAAATGGCTGCAGTCAAACAGTGCATGGGAGGAGGCAGGAAGGCAAGAGACTACCACACTCAAGAAGCTTTTGGTGGAAAGAATCTATTACAAAGCCACCAAGTGGAGGACTGTCCAGGAGATGCACAAGCAGAGTAATGGCTGACCAGAGGCAGGGGCATGGCAGGACTTTGGAGTCACAGCTATAGAGTTGACTATAGTGATGGCCACACAACTCTGTGGCATGTTTAAAAAAAAAAATTTCCAGGTGGTGACTCATGTAATCCTAGCACTTGGGAGGCTCAGTTGAGAGAATCACCATGAGTCAGTCAGAGGCCAGCTGACCTACAGATTAAGACCTAGGCTTAAAAAACAAAACTGAATTATACAGCTGAATTTTATGGAATGTGATCTATCTCAATAATATAATTTCCAAAAACAGGCCAGGGCAGTAATTAAATGAGATATATTTGTTTATTCCAGAATCCAAAAAAGAGAAGGTATGTATTAATGAACTTGTACCTAGCGTGAAAGGGATATTTGTGCATCTGCACACATGTTGATTTTTTGTTTTGTTTTGTTTTTTCCAAGACAGGGTTTTTCTCTGTGTAGCCCTGGCTGTTCTGGAACTCAATCTGTAGATCAGCCTGGCCTCAAAACTCAGAGATCCAACTGCCTCTCCCAAGTATTGGAATTAAAGACATGTATCACTACCATCTGGACTATGTAGATTTTTAATAAGAAAACAAAGAATAGTGACCTAAAATAAAGCTGTGGTGGCTTCTGTTTCTATCATGACAAAGTACAAAGTGAGGGGATAGAAGCAGGTACAAAAGAGGGAAGAAGATAAGAAGCCAGGCCTGGCCTAGGCATCTGACACATGGAGTCAGCCTCACAGAAGCATCACCAGGAGAGCAGGCACACTGAAATGCAGCTCAGCACAGCTGAAACCACTGACAGACACCAGGTACATCAGCAGCCTGATTCCCCAGCTGCCTGTTCAGTAAGTGGCTATTTAGTCAGTTCATTTCTCAAGTCACACAAGTCACATTTAAAGAATACAAGTGCTATATGTGGTCAATGACTGATGTCCTGGCTGGTATGGACACGAAAAATTCCCTCTATGGCAGGGAGTCCCATAAAGTAGAAAGGAAGTGAATGATCCACAGGACGGCACCTTTAACAGTAGACAGAAAACCAGACAGTGCGGAATGTTGGCAGAAACACAAGAAGCCCTATCACTTGTGGTATAAAGTAGCCCAGAGAAGGCTGTCAAAGTGCCTGTAAAACTGAAATGAATGGTCATGGCAGGAAGTGCTCTGAAAGGTGATATCAGAAACCAGACAGAGTAAAGAAACCCTGTCTCAAAAAAACAACAACAAAAAAGAATGGGTGGCTCAAGTGGGGGAACACAGTACTGCTGAAAGTCAGTGCCTGAGCAAAAGGGAGGACTGGGCTGTAGGCTGATTCTTCATAGGCTTTATATAGAGGTGAGGAAGAGAAAGCAAGTGAAGGAAACTGGGAGATTAAGGGAGAGTATCATCACTTCTGAGTTTTATGGCTGAAACCAAAACAAAAAAAAAAAAAAAAAAAAAAAGAGTACAAAATAACAGCATTTTTATGTTACATTCACTATCTGAATAAGCTATTTTCTTTACTTATAGCAAGAAATAAAGGAACAGACTACTAACATGGATGTTCAGGAAGCCCAGTCACTAGACCGATGATAATAGTTGTCCCTAGGAAGAAGTTACCTTGATTGCTGGTCCAGGAGTCACATCATCCAAGACATGAGCACAGATGTTGATCACCTTCAGCAGGTGAGAGAAAAGCTGTTCCACCATGGGCACCAGTGTCCGATCCCCCAGGGCAGGCCAAACTTCCTCCTGTCTGGTGGCTGCTGAATTGGCTTCTTCTTCAGAGGTCCAAGAACTTCTCAGAGACTTGGGGGCACTGGCTGTGACACAGGAACACACATTACTCCACTTCCAATGTGTGGGATGGGAAGCAGTTGTGGCCTAAGTTTCTCACACTGATCTGTGCTAACATACTGCTGGACATCTGTATCTAAACAGATATCTCAAGCTCACATAAATAAAAGTGCTACTTGCCCCCCAAACTCCAATTTTCCAAAAAAGTCACCACTGTCCTCCAGCTATGGGGTTTGATCCTCACAACTGAGATACAGATGGAGCTCAGGTCTGAAGATGCTGCCTCTATTATGCTCTCTTCATCACCTTTGCTCTACTCCCAAAACTGAACTCATGGTTCAGTCTTTTGCCAGAACTTCAACATAACATCCTGGACCTCCCTACCAATTCCAACCCAAACTCAAGTCAGCTGAGAGATCTTTCTAGAACACAAATCCACCTAGTCCCTTCTATAAAACATACCAATGACAAACAGAACAAGTCAATATCTGTCAGTGGGAACTGGTATTTTACCCCCAAGTAGATTCAGTGGTTTCTGACCTGGCTGGTCACATTCTCTACTCTTATCCAGATACCTTCAGTATTATATAATTTGTCAGTTCTCCAAATCTTTACATATGCAATACTAAACCTGATATTTTTCTATCAACCTATAAATCTGACCAAAGAAGAATGTATCCAGCTGCTCTGCTGCTTCTATGCTTATCTGCATGTATCCCCTGCCAATCTATAACTACCTGGAGAACACAGCAATTCTGTTATAGTCTCTAAACCAAGCCATAAGGTACTAAGAAAACAAAACTCAAATGAGTTTATCCACAGTAAAATTGAAGTGCTAGTCTGCTGTAAAAATACTCAGCACTTAACAACTCCCCTTATACACATTCACATAAACAGACAACATCTAAAATTTGGATTGAACCGCCCCCCCAAAATAACTCATGTTCCTGTAACCTGTGTACCCCTCACAAGCAAATCAGAGCCCATCTCCACTTGTTACCAGTACCCGCAAGCAAGTTTCCAGCTAAAATCAAGGCATCCTGATGGGCTGAGAGATCCAATGGGAACCAAGCTGATGAAAGCAAGGTGAGAATCATGGAGGCCATCCCAACAGTACAGCTCTTCCTGGACTCATCAGAGGCACTCAGCGGGGGCACTCTGGAAGAAGACATTTCCAAAGTCAAACACAAAGTTCAAGCATACAGTCTTGCTCGCTAATGTCCCCATGAGACATCCATTTTACCTTTTTTTTTTTGGTTTTTCGAGACAGGGTTTCTCTGTGTAGCTTTGGAGCCTATCCTGGCACTCAATCTGGAGACCAGGCTGGCCTCGAACTCACAGAGATCCGCCTGCCTGCCTCCAGAGTGCTGGGATTAAAGGCGTGCGCCACCAATTCCCGGGCTCATTTTACCTTTTTTACCTTGTTTCTTGATGTGGTTTCTTAAGACAGGGTCTCAGCCGGGCGTTGGTGGCGCACGTCTATAATCCCAGCACTTGGGAGGCAGAGGC